CTGTGTTGGGATTCCATCATGTTCCTCAGATCCTCAATTTTTTTATCTGTATCCTCTCTAGATTTATTAATCATGTCTTGCACTATGAGCAAAATCTTTGCTGTTATCTGAGTAATTATTTCTGATTTCATTTTTTTTCCAGATCCTCTTTTTTTTGCCAGTTCAGAGAGTCCAGGTGGTTGAGTATCAGATTGTTCCATCTCATTTCCCTTTGGGGTTGCTGTAGGTGATTTCTAAGTCTGTTTTTGAGGCTTGTTTATGTGTCTTCTCATTTCCATGGTAGCGGGGTGTGCTTCTGGTGCCCACATGGCTCACAATCTCTGCCCTAGGAGCATGGAATCTTGCCTGCCTTTTCTAATAGCCATATTAACAGACATCTTTGCACCTGAGATTCTCCAATTCTGGCAACATGAATCACACTTTTGGAGTGAACAAGTCAAACCAGAATTCTTATTAGTCAGCTATCAATAGATATTAAATACAGCTTAAACAGGAAACCCTTCTGGTTCAGGACTGTCATAGCCACAGTTTGCAAAAAGTGCAGCTATTGATTAATGCAATGTAGTGTCAATTAAATGTACATTCCTGAGATCTTTTATCTGTTGTAGCTTTGTCTTTTTCTTTTTCTTTTCATTACATCAGGTATATTGCCCAGTAAATTGTTATAGTGGTACCAGGAATAAAAAATTAAGGAATTTTTAACTTAAAAAAAAATAGATATTAAATAAATTCAACTAACACTTCTAGATCATTAGAATTATTCTTAAACTAAGGAGTCCCTAAAAGAATTCCTTTTAAAGCATTTGAGATCCAAAATATCATCTGCCTGAGAAGCCCTTATGACAGTGACCCTTATCTTTTGAAAATAATCTGGTGATAGTGTTTGCATGGCTCAGCTTATATAAAAAGCTCCCCTGAGCAGATGTCTGCCTCCCTCTCATTTCTACCTACTAGTTTTAGTTTGGCTCTAAGAGCTACACAATATTAGTTCATTTCTTCTTCTATATGACAAGCAAATATTTTTAACACAGTCAAATACTCCCCCAAACCATTACCCTTTTCCTTGTCCATTGCCCAGATGTTACCTGCTCTGGCTTCTCCTGATTCTGTTTGATCCTCACTAGAAGGAAGCAAGCATTTGCAGTGACTCATTTGGACTGCTTTGAGGACAGACTGCTACTGTGAAGTTGGCATTTTAGGCACCAACCAATACAAAATCAATTAAAAAGAACTACTTTTATGGAATTTACATTCACCATATTCCACTGAGTAGCCACTTTCAATTCAATCATTTAAGAAAGCAAGATGACTATCCTAGTCCACAGTGTTAGATTATTGTTAAGCATTCTCACAGGGAAAAATTAGTTAGCTAGCAAAATATAGATCCATTCTCCCTACCTACCCTCCCCCATGTCCTATTTAAGATCAGCTTATCAAACTTCAGTTGCATTGAGATCTTAATGACATTCTAAATGTTTCTTTTTCATGACTTAAGTAGGGTATATTAAAGTATACATGCAAAGGATTCACAATCTGATTAATTATATATATTAAATAGATGCCATTTTATTGATCTTTCATAAGATTATCAAATTTAAGTGCTAAAAGAATCCCTAGAAACTGTCTCCTTTAGCTTCTTCATTGTATGCATAAAGTGAAGTGAGTAGAGATTCAATTAGAGTGAGTTTGTGGCAACATTTTGGTCACATTCAAATTCTCACCTTATAAATTCAATGTTCCTATATTATCTAATCTTGGAAAAGGGAGTTTATAAAAGGAATAATATACAAAATTAACCACTTAGCAGTCCAATTATTTAAGTACAGGATGACCAGACATTGCATATTTTTGTTATTTTTTATAAAATAATATAATAGAAAATATAAAAATAACAATTTTATCACGTTTATT